ATAATTCCGTGTAAGTACAGTAGCAGACGCTGGCCATGCTTTGTCTACGTAGTAGGACACTCTAGCCTAACAACTGCACCCAGTTAAAAACACTGCCCGCTGAAATATGGTTTATCAAGTTAATATTGAGAGGAAAATCATTATGCACTATTATGAAGTTCTTGGATGGTCAATATATGGAACACTGTAGGAATAAAAACTCCAGTCAAGGTTACTTGTTTAATTTGTAGCTGATAAAGAAAAAAATTTTCCATCTCACTCTAGATTATTTTAGTTTTTCAAATTGTTTTTTGGGCTACCTTGCTTAGACTACTTAAGTGTGTGAATGAAACAAAATGTAATAATATGATCATCATCATATTATTATGCCTGTTACGGAAAAACTCAAAGCTATAAATAAAATACTAAAATGACCAAAACCGGGTCATTTATTCCCATGTTATGCTGCATGAACACAAGTGATTCAGACTTGCCTCGACATTCAGTTGTTTGAATGAACGAGTAATCAAGCCAGCTTTATGTTCTGGTGCAGGAACTTGTCTTAATCTAATCTTTTCCATCGCAATCTTCCTCATGAGGTTACATGGAGCTTGGGTACTTTGGTTTAACATTTTTATTGCATTATTTATTTATTTATTTATTGAGCACATGTGTGGGCGGATGTGGCATGCGCGTGTGTGGCGGTCAGAGGAGAGCTTGTGAGAGTTAGATCCTTCCCTCCACCGAGCAGGTTCCAGGGATCGAACTCAGGTCATTAGGCTTCATGGCAAGCACCTCTACCCACTGAGCCATCTCCTCGGTTTCAGACTTCTGAGAACTCCACAGCATGTGGGTACAATTTAGTTATCTTTTCTGTCAAGTGAACAATTAACTTGAAATAGAGATTATGGAAGAAAACATAGGAAAGTATTTTTGCAACCTTGGGGTGAACAGAGAGTTATAAGATGAAATACAGAAATACTGAAGTTATACATTGACTTCAGTAGTAGATGCTATTTATTTATTTACTTATTCATTTATTTATTTTGGCGCTTTGAGATAGGGTCTCACTATATAGCTTTGGTTGGCTTGGAATTCACTGTGTAGACCCAAGCTGGCCTCTGCCTGTTTTACTTCAACTGTGTTATGTTAACTCCATGTTGAATTAAGCACTATAGCTTTAAAGATTTACCAAGCAGCATGTTGGTATTACTGCTAGGATTCTTCACTGGCACTTTTAAAGCTAGAGGCTTGATTTTCTTAAATTATTTCATACATTATTGTGTGTTGTCTTTTCAGTAGGAACTGGGCCCCAAACATCATCTACTGCAATAAGTTAATTAATAAATTAATGCTGGCACTCCTCTGAGCCTTACCTGAGGAAGCCTTCACCACTCCCATGGGTCTGAGGTTTTGGGGTCTGACATGGCTGTGCCCGTTAACAATACACATTCACTCAGGGATTCCGCTCACCCTAACTGTACACATTTGGAAAGATTCTCTGCTCAACAGATTTGATGTTAACCTAAAAATGTTTTTCTTCCTGTATACAGTAAACATTTCTTGTCTTTTCAGAATATGAAAGGTTTATAAGTGATCTTTGGGGAGTGTAGCTTGACTCTGAAGGAGTGAACAACATGAGGAGGAACATCAAGGTCATGACCTCGTAACTGACCATCCTTCTAACTGTTCTGTGCTTCTATATGAGACCATTTAGTTGTAAAGTTTTTAGGCGTGTGAGAACATGAAAGGGTTTTGATACATTTATTCAAATCACAAAATTGAACATCAATTTATTACTTCTTAACAGCTTTGAGACCAGAAATAGCCTGTTGGAAAGACAGGCAGTAGAAGTATATCAAAACCCTTTTTAAAAGCTTCTAATGGATGATTTAACTCAACAGACACGTCATTTTTCGCTTTTTTTTTTTTGTGAAAGAACAGTGTTTTTATTACTTTTCAAAAGTTGTAAAAGTAAACAGTCTCAGCTCTACACACAGAGAAAGTAAGCTGTGCTTACCAGCCGCGCATGCGGGCTTTCTATGCTCTGCCTTTGTCTCCACAGTGCGGAATGTCTATATGACTCCACACGACTTCCTTTTTGTGCATCAGAAAACTGGGTGCCAATTAAACAATTCTCAAAATGACTTCATGTGTCAAGTTAGAGGAAAAGTGGGATGATAAGGAGGAGGGGGGGTGAAACTCTAGTCACATTAAATAACATGCCTCGTTCCTCATTAATAGTGCATTTAATTTATATTTTGGAGATAGCTTGCAGAGGTTTTGTACAGGACTATCCTGTGAACCCAACAAAATCCATCGGGCTACATTCAGTTGTGCCTACTTCCAAAAGATCACCTCAGCTGGGCCCCTTGGCTGTTGGCACCTGCTCCTAAAGACCCTTCCCTGAGTATCCACCCTACCTACACTGTTGTGTGCAGCTCTCTCTATCCATAACTACGAGCGGCCTCGCGGTGGGGAGGGGCTGGAGTCTGTGGGCTGGGACGACCAAGAGAGTGGGGTTCCGTCTGTCTGGCTGTGGGGAAGGAAGTCTTCCTCCCTGCTGGGTAAAGGCTTTCCAGGTGCAGCCTTCTGGGGGATGTGCTCCTGTGACTTCTGGGGGATGTGCACCTGCAACTCATCGGGGTCTTAGTAAGGCAGCTCAGCTCCCCGGTTCCCCAGAGTGAACCCTGGAGGAATCATTCTCCAGCTTGGAAGGAATTTTAGCTGGACTACCCCAGGCTGGGCTTGATTCATTCTTCTGTGTTTACCTCCCAAGTCCTGGGATGACAGGTATGTGCCACGCCACAGCCGACGAATGGTGCTCATTCTAAGCACGCAGGAGAACCTTTGCCCCGACTTCATTCTGAGAAATCCTGAAACCACAAACTATCAGAGGCTCCGACCTTTGTCCCTCATTTTACAGCGCGCAGAGTTACGACTTGAACGGGCTTTGCTGCTGTTTAAAATTACAGTAACTATTTCCGGCCAGTAGGTGTGTTTTACCCATTGGCGTCGTCCCAGGCCTACCATATTGAGAGCAAATGTCATTTAATACGCGGGAAGAGAGAAGGAAGTACAAGAGCGATTGGGCTGTTCAACTAAGTGCACCGTTGGACATCCTCCCAGTTCCCCTCTCCGGCCAAGGAGGTGGGCTTCCGCCCCTCCATCTGCGTTCCGGATGTTTGGTTACCAGGCAACAGGCAAGCGCCTGCCAGACACCTGCGAAGGGGTGCGGCCCTGGGTCCCAGAGCCTGGGGCCTGGCCCTAACCGGCGCCTGCGCAGACCGTGCCGAGGCGGGCGTCCCCTGCGCGCGGCCGCCGGGAGAGAGTGGGAGGGCGTGGTCGCCCGGCCAGGTTGCTGGGACTAGACGGCATCCCACTGTCGCGGTGCAGGGGAGCCCTGGCTCCGTCCCTGCAGGACGGCGCCGATGGCTCTGGGCTGAGCTCGGGAGGAGGCATCCCCTGGCCGGCCCGGGGCTCCCACGTCACAGTGGGAGGTTGGTCACACGTTCCGTGTTTTTGCGGGGAGGGAGAGGCGATCGTTAGGGACTTGGCCGCCACGCGTTTCCCAAGCTCCCCCCGCGGAAGTCAGAGGAGGGCGAGCCTCCCTCCCCGCGGGCCCGGAGAGCCGATCGCTAAGAGAACTGCCCGCCCAACCTGGGACTCCGGAGGAGGCCTCTTACCCGACGTGCACCGGGCGCTCATTTGCATGTCCCCAGAGGTTAAACCACACGGGTCCACGCTGCCACGCGACCTCCGTTCGGTAGCCCAGGTCACGAGCCTAAACATAGGATTCTGGTGAAGAAACTTCCTTTCCACCCTCTCAGAGCCCGGGAACACGCGGGGATGAAGTCACCCTAACTGATAAATTTATAAGTCACTGGGCCTTATATAGCCCTCGGAGCGAACTGGAGCTCGTGCTCGCTTCGGCAGCACATATACTAAAATTGGAACGATACAGAGAAGATTAGCATGGCCCCTGCGCAAGGATGACACGCAAATTCGTGAAGCGTTCCATATTTTGCAATCTAGACTTCAATTATTAGTCGGTCGTACGAAAGCACGTTGTTTTGCGCTCAAGGCTGAAATTGTGTACGGCCATTATAAAATGGGCATGAATTTCACCCAAACTGGGAACACTTGAAGGGAAAAGAATGTAGCAATATACCTTTCCTTAAATTCGGAAACTTGACTTAGAATTTTCCTTCCTTAACCCAAACCTGATGACTCTTTTCCGGATTTCCACTGATACCTGGTTGAGGCCCCACAGGGAAGCAACCTCGCTCGTCTCTTCGCCTGCATCCCGACACTCCCCCCAGGTTTTGCAGCCCTGAGTGTGCAGCAGCTACAAAGCAGCCAGCCCTTGGGATCTGGCTTCCCAAGGCCTCCCTCCCTCTCGGCATGCAGCCTGGAGGGAACACGAGCCCGGGCTGCTCAGCGGATGGCAGCAAGCACTCGGGTCCAAATCCACGAATGAAGCCGGGCATTTCAGAGAGACGTGCTTGTGCTGCCTTGGGGATGCGGGAGGCTGTGACGGAGGATCCACTGCAAAAGGAAGAGGTCAAGGGTTGCACAGTTCGTTTTTTCGGTCAATCACCCTGTTCGTAAAAAAGTGTAGCGGCTGCAAAATATGGAACGCTTCACGAATTTGCGTGTCATCCTTGCGCAGGGGCCATGCTAATCTTCTCTGTATCGTTCCAATTTTAGTATATGTGCTGCCGAAGCGAGCACGGGTCTCAGACCGCTCCGCGGGCTATATAAGGGCCAATGGCTGATAAATTTATCAGTTAGGGTGACTTTATCCCCGCGTGTTCCTGAGCTCTGAGAGAGTGGAAAGGAAGTTTCTCCACCAGAATCCTGTGTTTAGGCTCGTGACCTCGGCTACTGAACGGAGGTCGCGTGGCAGCGTGGACCCGTGTGGTTTAACCTCTGGGGACATGCAAATGAGCGCCCGGTGCACGTCGGGTAAGAGGCCTGCGAGCACTCTTCGCCTAGGGAGTGCAGTGAGTTCTCCGCTCTCTGCCCGCGGGGCATGCCGGGATTGCGCGCCGGTTAGCCTCCCCGACACTGAGCCGCGGAGGGGCTAGCCTCGGACCGCCCAGCTCTCGAGTGCGTGGTGGTTTCGCCGCTTGAAAGTTCCCGTGATGAGTACTTCGAAAACAGACGCCAGGGAACAAAACCATCCCTAACTACCCGGCCATTAGGAAATACGGAAATGTTACTAGCAGTCCTTTATGTCGCCTACTGCTCAGCTCGCGCTCAAATTTCCTTGATGGTTTCAAGGGTGCCGTCTTAGCAACTGCCATCAGGGGCTAACCTAGGCTCGCACTGTGTCTGATGAGGATGCACTCGGGGTTCTGTTTTCCAGTGGTCTTTATTCGTTTCTTTTTAGGCTGTTGACTTACTGAGGAAATACCTTGTTATGGGTATGCCTCAGATGTGGCCCATGGTGTTGTTACGGATCTGGTCCATAATTTATGCTGCTTATTCGCTTTATTCGCCCTGTTTCTTGAAAATGTATAGTTAGGCATAGAGGCGGAGATTCTGATGACTTTTATTTTTAAATGTTGTATGCAGTAGTGATGGTCGGGCGTGTACTTGGTCTTGCATCTCGACAGGAGCATGTGATGTTGACATGTGAAGTATGTGTCACCGGGTCAGCATCCTGACACCTCCAGTGTCAAGCCTTTCCAAACCTTCCACCTAATGGTTTTCGGCACTAACGAACATTTCCCAGGTAGAAGGCCTGGGGGTATGGTTGTATTTAACCCTTGGTTCATGAGTTAGTAAGGACGGTCTCTGGTGGCCAACCTCTGTGCTTCCTGCCAGAGAATTAAGAGAAAGAAAGGCAAAGAAAAGGATAAAAGGAGCGTTGATTCTGAGTCTCTGGATCATTGGATTCCTTATCCAGGCGTTTTCCAAAGTGCAGTTCCTTGAGCTAACAAAATCCTCAGGCAAGGCTGAAGTTGTGTTTCCTCACCGAATGGTTCTTCCGGAGCCCTGCAGTGCTGGTTCTGAGTCCTGGTCTCCAGGGCTGCCGCCCTACAGCAAAGCAGTGTAGACTTTTGTAGAATCCAGTGGACAAGCAGAAACAGCCTTTCTTCCTCTCCATACCCTCGGTTGGAGTGATTCTCCCTGGATATTTTCTACACGTTGTTTTCGGTCAGTCTATACATTTACTGCCAGGGTCATTCAAACTTCACGTCTGGGATTTCCTTCCCTTCTGTTCCGTTACACGGCTGCCTTTGCTGTTGTTTTCCACGGCTCTTGTCTTTCCCTATCGCCTTTTCCGATTTCCTTTCTCCATCCCGCACTCCTCCGGTCTACACTGCACACATGACTAACTCAACATGTTTACTCAGTTCATCGTGCTTTTGTTATTATATATTATGCTCATCTCTTACACTACACATTTGCAACGCTCAGACGCTTAACTCCTGCTAAACTCAAAATGCATTTAAGTTCCCACAATTAGGTTTTAATTTTAAAAATCCTGTTCTTTCACCCTTGATGAAGTATATGTGAATCTTCAGTCTTTTGGGAGGGAAATACTGTGTTTTTGTTTGTTTGTTTTTCTTTGAGACAGGGTTTCTCTGTGTAGTTTTGGAGCCTGTCCTGGAACTCACTCTGTAGCCCAGGCTGGCCTCGAACTCACAGAGATCCGCCTGGCTCTGCCTCCCGAGTGCTGGGATTAAAGGTGGGCGCCACCACCGCCAGGCCCTGTTTGTTTTTTTAATCACATCTTTTAAGAGGCATTTAGGAAAGTGATGCGGTAGGCGTCTTTTAAAGTGACTGTAATCTTGAGTTAAGATTTGCTTTTGTGAGAATGGTAAGTTTAATAGGTGTGATTAACAACTTAGCTTTAGCAGACATTTATTTGAAGGATTTTCCCAGATCAGATTTTTTAAAATAAGGAAACATTTTATTTTTGTATTCTGGAACATTTGGACTCTATTGTTAGTAAATATTATTGTTGTAATAATCTTAATTGTTCACATAAACAGTAATTCTGTTGTTTTACTCAAAAACAGCTACTTAAACTGGGCGGTGGTGGCGCACGCCTATAATCCCAGCACTCGGGAGGCAGAGCCAGGCAGATCTCTGTGAATTCGAGGCCAGCCTGGACTACAGAGATCCAGGACAGGCAGCAAAACTACACAGAGAAACCCTGTCTCGAAAAACCAAGAAATAAAACCCCAATTCTCACATCCTCTTTAGCAGGGAGAGTTGAGTCCCTTGAATCCGCCGCGCCTCTGACATGCTTCATCGGGGTGAAATGGATGAGCTCAAGCTGGGAGACTGAGGTGCTCAACCTGGGTTCCGGGTTGTAGCCGTGAGAACTTTGGAAACACCAGTGCAGGAGCCAGCCTGTGGAGGTTCTGATTTCCTTGTCCCGAGTGGGGCTCGAGTTTCTGTGAGGTCTTTTTGCGCAGTCGTGGGTTCTCCTGGAACTCTCAGTCTCTGTAAGGTTTGCTTTGCATCTGGCCATTATCTTTCTTTCTCTCCTCTCTTCTTTCAGAGGCACGTGTAGCAGCTCTGGCTTGTCCTGAATTCTCCACCAACCCCATTCCTCCGCCTTTCCTCCTCCCCTCCCTCTTGATGGCCATATTTGGGAAGACTCCAGTGGTCATGAAGGACTCCTGGAAAGAACTATAGGTTTGTTTGTTTGTTTTTTTAAAGGTATACCACTTTATTTAATTTCTGGTGTCTAACTCCCTAAACTAAAACATGCTGGAGGACCACTTCCCAAACTTGCCTAGTAATAGAGTCCTTGACTCAATTTCTGACAGCTTCTAGAGGTTTGATCTATTGTAGTCATTCAAAGAATGATCCAGAATCTCTCCCAGATGATCTGTGTTTTCAAAAGCTACTTTTAGGGTCCAGAGAGGGATGGCTGAGCAGTTAAGAGCACTTGCTGCCCTTTCAGAGAACCTGAGTCCAGCTCCCAGTACCGGCACGGTGGCCACACACACTGTGAACATACACAAAAGTAAAAAAAAAAAAAAGGTTTTTAAATGCCTTGATTTATGGCTTTCTTTATTCTGTTAGTGTAAAAACTTGATAAAACGATGGCCATTTTGGAACATAATTTTTGGAACCTGAATTTGTACTCCTGGGCCATGGCCACTCATGTTTGGTTCTTGACTCTCTCTTCAATCCCTTGAGCTGAGAGCTGTGTTTTTCCTTTGACACTGGCTTGAGATATTTTTTGTGCATAGAGTTTTCTCACAGTAAGCAGTTCCCTTAATTTGTAGCAAATGTTTCACTGAAGGTGCCGGAGGTTTGGGGGAAGCCATCAGAGACAAATACCTTTAATATCTTGGAGTTACTCTAAACTAACTTGTGCATAAATTCACCTTTCCCCCCTCTTTCTTTCAGAGGAGAGGTGAACCTTGTGTGGGGGAAATGCGTGGGTGGGAAGCTTCCTTGTCTGGAATGTGATATCTAATTCCAACTCCATGCGAGCCGTTTTACAACTATGTAAGTTGAAGGTAAATTACAGCAATACAAAGTCGTATTCTTTATGGACCTCTAGATGCCAGCCTGACCTTCAGCTGACCTCCCTGAAAGAAGCTGGTTTTGCCGCCACCTCCTCGCACCTCGATCTCAACGTTCCTTTAGTCTACATAATTCTAAAACTTCTCCTGTGAATCGGCTGTAACACCTACCATATGTCTCTTTTGATTAATATATAACATAAAATCTCTGATGCATTTTATTGATCCACACAAGAGGCATGTTTTTAATTAAGAAATAGTTTTGTATAAATTTGGAGTTCTTCCACTGAGTTTCCCAGTGGATTCAGCTAACAAAACAGAGTATATTTTTAATCAGAGAAAGTACAGTTTCTGTTCTAATTAAAGCTCAGACATATTTTTCTTCGTTTCTAAATGACAATAGAAATTTGATGACTTTCTCATTTAAATATTCTCTGTTAATTTACAGTTTCTTTGTTTTGTAACTGTTGAATCAGTGCTCACAGTCGATAGCAATAACTGGAAATTTGGTGTTACAATTTATTGAGTAAACTCTATGACTAATGATTTTTAGAGATATAGTCTCTGTTGTGTAAAATCCTCCAGAAAAACTTATCTTTCTATGACTTTCATCTACTTCAGACTCAATCAGGTAAAGATGTTGTGCTCACTAGCAGGGACCTCTAAGATACCAGAGTTGCTAAGTTTAGGGGCTACTGTTTATTCTTCATCTTTTAAAAAAAATTTTTAAAAAATTTATTTATTCATTTATTATTTTTTTAATGCCAAATGCTGTTTATTGAAGGAGGGAGGTGGTCTTAAATACAGGCTTACAGCACAGTGGGAGAACCCCGGAGGGCAGAAGTTTGCTACTGATGTTTTACAATCTTGCATCTAAGCTGTTAACACCCAATATGCAGGATACACAGACAAGGAACTTCCCTTAAGCATTCAGGAGGGTGGAACTGGCAGGGAATTAGCATAGGGAGGATATCAAGGTCAAGGTCAGCAAGCAAGGCAACAGTTACCCAAAATGGGGACCAGGGCCCTACAGGTCCCCCCTTTTACTAAAAAATGAGCTTCTGACTTAGGTTGCATGGGACATCAGCAGGTCACCTTACCCGTCATGGAGATGCCTGCCCAGGTCACACAGGTGCTCTGTCTTAGGTTGGTGAGCGTCCCCCAGACATTACCCGTCTGTGAATACTCATTATCATACAGGCTCAATTGTGTGTGAGCTGCAGAGTTAACTGTAGCCAAAGATCTCAAAGTGGTGCTGGGCTTGCAATCTGTGTGTTCGACACAGAAAAGACCAACAGAAGTCCTAAACCACCCATAGCCAGTAGGCTAAAGGCAACTGAGCCATTCCCTTCTTTAATGAGTCTTACTGCAAACTGGAGTCCTTGTAAGATAGTATCCCAAAAGCAAATGGAACTTGAGTTTATAAATTTATCATTTTCAAAGCCAATCAAAATGTGTATAACTAATGAATTAAATTTATCATGCCCAATAGAATGAAAGATTAACTAACTGTGGTAGCTATTTTTGCTGCCAGGGTCTCCACTGTGCTAGCTGAAGTAAACAATTATGAAATGGTAATCCCAGAAACAGTAGCAACAGTGGCCACCACTGCTATAACAGCAATAACGGCAGCAGCAATGTCAAATTCTCTTCTGGAGCGTGTGGGCATCCACGGGCATGGACACAACTCCAGGAACACGAACTGCCAAGGCCCATTTTTCTCAATCCCAGCACGACTTAGGCTGGCAGCTGTGCAAAAGAGCAACTAAGAACCATAAAGAAAAAACAGGCAGCTCACAAGGAGCAGAACTAATGGTCTCATAATGGCTACATTCAGGCTCATAAATTTTAAGGTATCTTCAAAGGGGGTTAAATGAATTTCAGGAGGCCAATAAATGTTGCACAGAGCCACTCCTGAAAAGTAGGTACTACACCAGCTTGAAGAGGATTGTGAAAATGAAAAGGCTTAGCTGGCATGCTACTGTTAACAAATGGAGGTCAGTGACCTTCAGGGTTATCCTTAATCTCCAAGGTGTCTGGGTGACATGTTCTCAAACATACTTGAAAAAACAGTTACCATACATTACCTTCTGGAGAATCCAACCGCATGGCTACAGTTCCTAGGCTTACATTAATGCTTGCCAAAGCTGGCCATATTGGGCTCTCAATCCCCATTGGCATCAGAAGGGGAGAGTTTTTCACAAAGGCCCAATAGGTCTCTGCCATTTCAAGCTTCAGCAGCAGCCACAGGGTGCACACAGCGCTCAGGAATCCAAAGAGGAACCTCATTGTCCTGAGAAAAGATATAAACAGAACCCCGGGCCCACACCAACACCAGGTCGGGTCCCCTCCAAGTGCCAGTAGAAAGATCCTTCCATTGCTCCAGAGGGTGATTTGCAACAGGAGCCCTCCAGTGCTTATCTGCAGCAGATACTCCAGCAGAATCCACCGATAAGAAATTTAAAATATATAAAACAAGGGAAAGAATAGAATGTGGAGAGGAAGGATGAGCCCCTAGTTCCCCCTTTTTACTTTAGCAAAATATGTTTGTTTGGTTTTTTTTAATAGTTCAAATTTTTCTTTTATTTTTTATTTTTTTAATTAATTAATTTTTCTATTATCAGCTTGATACAGTATAAATTCTTATTTTAATAGTGAAATGTTTCATTGAGGCTTGCTCATAATTGAGTAAAACCAAAACTTATTATAAGCCACAGTCATTCTAGGGTCCCCCATGCTATATATACATATAGGCTCCATGGTTCTGTGGGTTGGAGTCTGATTGTTCTTTGCTTTATATCTAGAATCCACTTATGAGTGAGTACATACCATGTTTGTCCTTCTGGGTTTGGGTTACCTCACTCAGGATGATTCTTTTTAGTTCCATCCATTTGCTTGCAAACCTCATGATGTCATTGTTTTTCCCTGCTGAGTAGTAGTACTCCACTGTGTATATGTACCACATTTTCTTTATCCATTCTTCGGCTGACGGGCATCTAGGTTTTTTTATTTCATGTGCATTGGTGGCTTGTGTGTATGTCTGTTTAAGAGTGTCAGGTCCCCTGGAACTGGAGTTACAGACAGTTGTGAGCTGCATGTAGGGGCTGGGAATTGAACCCGGGTCCTCTGAAAGAGTGGGAGTCCAGCTCTGGCCTGTCAAAGGGTTCTTGGTGGTAGCATGGGAGGAATGAGGAAGTGTGAGATAGAAATACAGGGGGAGATGGAGAGAAAAGACAGACAGGGTAGCTTCAGGAGGGCCCTGCTTCAATAACCAGCCAGCCACCCGGAGATTTATTTTAATGGGCTTTTTATACACTGCCAAGGGGAGAGGCAAAAGACTTCCCCCTTTAAAGATCAACGCACAACGTACTGCCAAGTGTAGACCCTTCCAAACACCTTGTAACCATGAACCTGGCCAAATCATCCCACTACGCCGCCCTGCTGGGCAAAGCAAGCTCAGATTCTCAGACCTTGAGTAAGGCCTTACTAGGGAGCCTCTGTGGGCCCCCACAAATGAGCAGTCAGTGCTCTTAACTGCTGAGCCATCTCTCCAGCCCTAATTCTTCACCTTTGATTGTAATTTGGGGGCTTTATGTCTGCATTTTTATCATTCAGAAAGGTATTTGCCTCTTGGTGAACATGTAATACTTTCCTAAAACCAGGTAATGCTACTAACTTAGGCTGTGAAATATCCTAAAGGAACCCCATTCTCATTGATTTAAGATGATTTAAATTATTTAGATTCTAAATCTCATGAATTAAGATTTCTTCTCAGTTTATGAGATATATAAGTAAAATACCCCTGTAATTCTTTTATCTTAGTTAGGGTTCCTGTGGCTGTGATGAAACATCATGACCAAAGGCAACTTAGGAGGAAAGGGTTTATTTCACTCACAGTTCCTTATCAACATCTTGAAACTCAGTGAGGGCAGGAACTCAAGCAGGGCAGGAACCTAGAGGAAGGAACTGATGCAGAGGCCATGGAGGAGTGCTACTTACTGGTTTGCTCCCCATGGCTTGCTCAGCCTGCTTTCTTATAGAACCCAGGATCACCAGCCCAGGGGGGTCCCTACCCACAATAGGCTGGGCCGGGCCCTCTGCCATCAATCACTAATTAAGAAAAAGCCCTTCAGGGTTGCCTACAGCCTGACCTTATGGAGACATTTCTCAACTGAGGCTCCCTCCTCTCTGATGACTCTAGCTTATGTCAAGGTGACAAAACTGGCCGGTACATCCCTGAAAATAAGGATCTAGAAAATTTTCAAAAGTTGTTCTAGTTTTGAAAGCATTCCCCCCCTTTTATTGAAAAATAGATTGTTTTCCTCATATATAATATATCTTGATTATGGTTTCTCCTCCCTCTACTCTCCCAGCTCCTCCCCACCTCCCCTCCCACACAGATCAACTCGATTTCCGTCTCTTATTAGAAAACAGGCTCCTAAGAGACAATAGTAAATATAATATAGTATAATATAATATGATAAAATAAAAACTAACACGTTGGAATCGGATAAAACAAACAGAAGTGAGGGAAACCTGGCCCCTCTTTTTTCCCCAGGGTACTCTTGAGGAGGGAGAAGTGAGAAGTATGTGGATACAAGTATACAGGAGAGAGACAGAAACACAGGATAGCTCGGGAGGACCTGGGTCAAAACCCACCAGCCCCTTCTGTCTCTTCTAAAGGGCTTTTAAAGGAACACCAAGGGGTGGAGCAAAAGACCTCCCCCAGCACAGCGAAGTGCAGACCATCCCAGGTACCTGGTCAAGCCATCCCCTAATGCAGCCCTGCTGTGTAAAGCAAGCTCAGATCTCACTAGGAAGCTTTTGTGGGCTCCTACACAGAAGGAAAAGAGCCCCCCAAAATACACAAGAAGCCGAGACCCATTCATTCGCATACTCAGGAATCCCATAAAAACACTAAGCTAGAAGACATATTATATATAGGAAGGACCTGTAGAGAGGATAAAAAACAATATAAAAAAAGAGAGGATGTAAAATAAAATAAAAAACAATAAGCTAAATTTAAAAGAAAAGAAAGAGCTCTGATGCAACATTATGAGACCGAGACCCTCCAAAGATGCTGTTCAGTGTGGGTTCTCTTGGCCATCTACTGCTGGGCATGCAGTCTACCCTTAGGAGTAGTTTGTTTCCCCAGTGAGGCTCCCTTGGAGAAAACGAAATTTTCATTTGCAAGTGGTTATCCAGTGGAGATTGCCTTTGGGTTAAGGATGGGCTTGTGTTGACTCCTCCCTTTAGCTATAGAACCCTATCTGGTGCAGACCTGTGCATGTCCTGTGCATGCTACCTCAGTCTCCAGGAGTTCATATGTGCATCAATCGAGTTGATTTAGAGGGCTTTGCTCAAGTATGTTGTGTATTCATTTTCATTCTGTTCTAGAAAGTCTTTGATTTCTTTCTTAATTTCTATCTTGACCCATTTTTCACCCAGTAATGAGTTGTTTGATTTCTATGAGTTTGTAAGCTTTCTGATGTTGACATCCAGTTTTAATCCATAGTGGTCAGATAGGATACAGGGTGTTATTTCAATTTTCTGCTTATCAGAAAATTTCAATTTATCTTTTGGGACTTGCTTTTTGTCAGAGTACAGTACATGGTTAATTTTGGAGAAAGTTCCACGAGGTACTGAGAAAAAGGTATATTTTTTTGTG